CAGGGAACTTGTAAGCTAGCAGTGGAGGAAATGAGCCAGAAAGGAAAGTAGTAAGGCAGGGCATGAGAGAAGAGGAGGGGAGAGAGGGAGAAAGGGGAAAATGAGACTAGGGAGCAAAGGAGGAAAGGATAATGGAAGGGAGCAAGTAAGAGTGAGTCAGAGAGAATTAGCAAGGAAACAAGAAAAAAGAGGAAGCTATTGGAGAAGGAGCAGAGAGGAAGCATGGAGGAGGGGGAGCAAGGGAACCAGAGAGAAGGTGGATAGGAAAGGAAATGAGCCAGAGAGGGAAACAATGAAGCAGAGAACAAGGTAGGGGGAAGAAATAGAGGAAGCAAGAAAAGAAGGAGACTAGGGAGTGAAGGTGGTAGGTAGGGAAGGAAGGAAGGAGCAAGAGAGGAGAGGAGAGAACAAATTAGCAAAAAAAGGGTGGAGGAGGTAGGGTAGGGGGAAGCCAAGGAGAGGGTAGGAGCAAGGCACAAGGGAAGTAAGGTGGGGGAGGTAGGGACAAGTTAAGGGAGAGGAGAGAGGATGAGATGGAGCAGAGAGAGTTTGCAAGAGAAGGGGAGGAGAGGGGGAGGAAAGGAGGAGGATGGAATAGGACCTTGGGAAGGAAGGGTGTGAGGGTGGGAAAGTGGCAGGGAGGGAGACAGAGGAATGAGGGTTAGAAAGGTGGGAGGAAGGGAAGGAGGAAGGGGACCAGTGAATTAAGGACGGGTGGAGTAGGGAGTGGAACAAGGAAGTAAGTGAACAGGTAAGGGAGTGAGAAAGAGAGAGAGCCAGAAAGGAAAGGAAAAAGTCAGAGGGAGGAGCCAGTATGGATTGAGTGAATACACAAAGTAGGGATGGTAAAATCAAGGGATGGATTAAGAGAAGACTGGAGAAAGATTGTTAGAAAGTGAGGACATAGTGAAGTTAGGGCTTAAGTGATGGAGCACAGAAGTGAGATGAGGGCAAGGACAGCAAGAGAGGGAGGGAGAGAAGGGGGGAAGTAAAGAGCAAAAAAGAGAGGGTTGGAGTTTGGGAGGGAGGTACTGAAGGACTAGGTAGGGAGTGAGTGAGCAAAGGAGGAAGGAAGGCAGGAAGTGAACTAGAGATAGAGCTGTAGAGGGAGCTGGCAGAGGAACACAAAAATAAATACACAGTTCTAAACCTCTTTGAACTCAGTAAAAGTAGCTACTACCTTTCTGCTCCTAAACCTTAAGGTTTCATACAACTAGCCTATCTGAAGGAAAAATGGGAATTGTACGAGATCATTTAAAATCTAAAGAAGAGGAAAGAATCAGAGAAATAATTTCCTTTATAATTATGATTATAAAGGAAAGCGCAGCTACTTGCTTTTATACTACCACTTCAAAAATAACTATTTCACTTAGACTCACTACCAGGTCATTTTCTCTTAAATGTCTCCAGTACCCAGGTTTGGAAATTCTTTCTTATATATACAATTCAAGACTCCACTTGAAAGAGATGGAGTTGGTGGTGGGAAGAAGAAAAGGGGGGTGGGGCGCAGAGAATCTAACAACCCATTAAATAGGCACACACCCACATATGTATATATTAGAGAAAATGGAAGAATCTTGCTGATTCCAGAAAACAAATACACCACCATTGCCACCTAACACCAGCTTCCCTGCTGGGGAAGATAGATTAAAAAATTAGTAAGAAATATTATTTTCATACAGACATAGGTACAAATATATATATACATACACATATACACACATATATAGACATGTGGATACATATGACTTGGATAGAAATCTGATTGATTAGTTCTCTCCAGGTCCTATGGACTCCACCTCAAGTTTTGCTGCAATCAGAAGAGCAGTGGCACCAAGGAGTTGCAGATTCTCTTCCTTGCATGTTTTCTTCATAAGGTAGTGATCCACCAGCTTCACTGCCAAGTAGAGAGACTCATGATTCAGATTACAGTTAACCTGGAGGAATACATAAACAGGGCAAAAATCTGCATATTGTCCAGCTCCAAAATCACATTCAGATAAATCTAACTACCTGGTCTGTGGCATTGAGCACAGTAGAGCTACCAGACCTGGCCAGCTGATATTCAACTATGAATATGGGAACTAGTTCAGGTAGGTGCCTGACTATATATATATATATATATGTATATATATATATCCTGTGACTCTGAGAATGCTGGCATTATCTATCCCTAACTTTGGGTAGGTAACCAGTCTTATAAGTCAGAGAGAGGCTCTGCCTTCTCTAGGAACACCCTGAGCGCACAGACCTCTCTCCTTGATCTCCAAATACATACTTGATATTCTTGCGTTCCCTATTTGCTACCACCTTGTATAGTGAATTCCCAGAAGAAATCATGTTTATTTAGCAATGAAACAGACTTGTTTTATTTATTAGTTTATTCATCCATTATTACCTATTAGAATGTATAGATTGGGAGCAAGTACCAATAGTACCATTTGGAAGTGAGCTGAGGGCTGAAGAAGCCAGAATGAGATTAAAGAATTCATCTCCCTTCTTTTATTTATCCTGCCCTCACCAATTCCAAAAAAACCATCTCCTATAAAAGTAGTCCCAGAGTTAGTGTTCGCATCTATATAGCATCTTTATAAAAATTAGAAAAAAGGTAACTTCTTTGGGTGAATTCAGCCCTGAAGGTATACATCTTATCAAGTAGATAATACCTTTATATGAATTAGCAAAAGGTACCCCTGCCTCAGGGCATAGCAGCCCCACAGCCAGAATGCACAGCTTGGCAAACAAGAGTATAGCTGGATTCCATTGTCTGCTTTTGCCTTCACTAAAGGCAACGTATAGCCACAATTTGCACTGTACACAGGGGTCCTACTCAATCCTCCATGATGCTTCTTCCTCACAATCCCTTGGGGTCTTAGGGTTTGAAAACAATAAGATCTATATTAGTCCAACAGCTCAACCAATGCCTGAACCCTCTCTTTAATGTCTCTACCAAGTAGTTGTTCAGTTCCTGCCATAAAACCTCCAAATACAGCCCAATTTCTCTTCTCCTTGAATAGTTTTAACAGAAAAATCTTCCTTATATTGAGTAAAACAAAATCCTCCCTGTAAGTTTCACTTACTTCATTGGGATTCCTTTTATTTAGGCTACTCTTAATGACTAGAGCCTAGTTGACTACAAAGTAGGTCAATAAGAAGCTTTGGAGAAGTGGATGTATATTAGCATACATGAATGATTATTAGAAGATGGTTGCATACATTGATTCAGCAATAGGTATATTAAGCTTTTAAATAACAAAAATACCAAAAATTTGTTCCTATTGTTCCTAGGATATGGCCTTGGATATTCTCAGAAATTGCCTTCATTTCCTATTACTGCTATAATAAATTATTACACACTTAGTGGCTGAAAATAACACAAATCCATTATCTTACAGATCTGGAGTTCAGAAGGTCAAAATAGTACTCACTGGTTAAAAAAATCAAGGTGTTAGCAGGGCTATGTTTTTTTCTAGAGGGTCTAAATGAAGAATCCTTTGTCTACCTTCTAAAGGATTCCTGCACTCCTTGGTTTGGGGTCCCTTCCATCTTCAAAGCCAGCAATGGCCAGCTGAGTCTTACTCACACTACATCATTTTCTGACTTCCTCTTCCACAATTAAGGACTCTTGTAATTACATTGGGCCCACCTGGATAATCAAGGGTAATCACCATCTTAAATTCAGTTGATTATAATCATAATTCCATAGTCTACTTAATTTCCTTTGTGAGTATGCAAAACACAAAGTTTATTCTTACATTATTATTTATTAACTAGAGGCCCGGTGCACAAAAATTTGTGCACTGGCGGGGGGGGGGGTCCCTCAGCCCAGCTTGCCCCCATCACATACTGGGAGCCCTAGGGGATGTCCTACTACCTGCTCCTTGCTCCCCTTGGGGAGTGGGCCTAAGCCACAGTCTGGCCTCCCTTTGTGGGAGTCAACCTGGCTGATCAGGGGAAGGCTGCAGCCTCATCACTGCACTGTTGCAGCCACTGCCAGTCATGGCAGCCACCAAGATGTTTTCATCAACACAGACTCCAGTCCCTTTACCATGAAAAAATCCATCCATCCATCCTTCCATCCTTCTTCCTTCCTTCCTTCCTTCCTTCCTTCCTTCCTTCCTTCCTTCCTTCCTTCCTTCTTCCTTCCTTCTCCTCACCTGAGGATATGTTTCCATTGATTTTTAGAGAATGTGGAAGGGAAAGGGAAAGACAGAGAGAAACATCAAAGTGAGAGGAACACTTTGATTGTTTGCGTCCTGCATGAGCCCTGACCTGGGCCCAGACCAGGGAGGAACCTGCAACCTAGGTACATGCACTTGATCAGA